GCAGTGGTTGACATGGAAGTGCGAGGGATTTTGGGGGGTTTTGGTTTTTTCCTTCCACTTGAGAAGGTTCAATGTAGATGTCAAAAAAACTGCTGCCCATGTAGTTTAAAAAAACAAAAACAAAACAACCCAAAAAACCCTTGAAAACATCATTTTCCTATGTTTTTGTCTAAACCTACCAGTATCTATCTGTACATTGCCAGCTCTGATAATGGGCGGGTTTATGCTGATTACTTGAGGTTACCTTTTTTCTGATAGCCTACTTATCAAAATAACTGTATAATTTGGGGGCTTTTTAGAAAGCATAAAAAATTCTGATGCACTTGTAATTCCTGCCTCTTAAAACAAAAGGCCTTCAGTCTTCAGCAAGTAGACTTATCTCAGGATCAAACTTAGATTTTTTTTATTTTATTTTATTTTATTTTTTTGGTAAATGTAGTAAATAATATTTTGTATGTGGGAAATAAATGTTTAGAACAGTAGTGCAATTTTTATCATCTTTTTTTAATGTGCTCTTGTGGTGTTGATATGTGACAATTTTGTCTTGGTTCTCTGCTTTTTATCTTCTGTGAAGGAAAACTGAGTTTTTAAGAGTGGAGGTACTGGACTAGTGAAGAGGATAATAGGCCATGAAAAACACATAAAAAAAAAAGATTGGTTTGGGTTTTTTTTAAAGGCAGATTGGAGAAGAGAGAAGGAGATGACATGGAAGGCTCAGGAGAAAGGGTGGATTAGTTGCAGAAAGAAGGCAGGCCCCTCTAATGAGGGACTCCTTGTTAAGGCCTGTAGACTATGGTGAATGAGAAGAACAGAAGAGCTTGTTGTCTGCTGAGAGTAGTATTACAAGGTCCAGAGCTGCTCTGAAAGGATTTTAGTAGGAGAGGAGGTGTGATAAAGGCTTCACAGTGGCAAAACTTACTCTTAAAAAGTTTCTGCTGGAGTGGCTTGTGTATTCGAGCAATATCAAGGAAGATACTTAGATATAAAGCTAGACAGTGTAATTTTGGATTTTTTTTTTAAGAGGAGGCAGGCAGAGACCAGTCAAAATATTATTGATCAATAGCTACTGTGATAAATGTGATTGAGTGTCCAGTCTTCTGGAGATGCTCACAGAATGACTTTTCATGAAGGATTGATTCTTTTAGGTTTCTTTTCAGAGATAAGGCTTTTGCAACGGATGAAAGTGCCTTACATGAATCTTGCCCAACTTTTCTGCCTCTTTTTTTTTTTTTTTGTTTAATCTCCACACTTGTGTTCAGTCTCCACAAGGCAGAATAAAATTGAGTAAGCATGACTATAGCAATGCATAAAGAGTCTCAGCAGTTGAGATGGTCTAAAAGGAGACAAATCTTTTTATTAGAGCCCTAGTGTGAAGTGGGGGATGCATTTAAAAAGAAAAAAAGGCTATGCATAATCTGACTAGAATATGAAGGAAAAAATAAAGATGAAGGAATGGCATCATGCTTTATGTAATATGTTGCATTAACACTCCTTTCTGGTGGTGGTTTTTTTTTTTTTGTCAGTCTTGATCAAAATAATTTTGAGATGTGATGATGGGAAGTTCTGCTGGTGGTAGTGTAGGACTTGTAGATTCCTAGAAAAGGATTTCGATGTTGGTGGGGTGTTTTTGTTTTGGTGAGAAATGCTAGTGGGAATTGTGTTGTTACAGAATATAACTTCTTTGAGATTATGGAAATAAAAGCTGCTGGTGATGGCATGGCTCATATTTCAGGAATTGCTAGCTCAGTGATTTAGTTACCAAATTGTTACTGAATCAACACAACATGATGCTATTTTAGACTTGGTATGGAAGCATAATGAGGTCTTTGTAGAAGAACTGCTTCTTAAAAAATGAACTTGTGTTGTGAGATCACAAGTTGATCCATAAATTCCGTGTTAAGATTGTCAGTGTCAGAGGCATGCTTTTGGAGAACTCTGCTCTTGGTAATATTTTAGAGGCAGTTCAGATGATTACGGTGGAGGCCAGGGGTTTATTATGTTAGAGCTGCTAAAATTCAGTAATTTTATCCTATTTGATCCTCATTAAGGGGAAATATTGTAGGAAAACACTCCAGATTTAATTGGATGAATAATCACTTCAGTACACTTAAATATGCTTCAGGGATGAAGGAAAAAGCAAGAATTGGCAAGGTCAAGCTGAGTTGCACCTTGAAAAGCCTGTTGGAATAGCATAAAAAAGGTTCTTCAGCTACGTAAATAAAAAAATGCATTTCTTATGTGGAAGACATAGTAGAATTTAAGCATGATGCCAAAATTAAATTAATCCTTACACTGAAAGAGAAAAAAGTGTAATACAGCCTGCCATTTTTCCTCAAGGTTTTGTGCAAAGGAGATAAGGGTATGGAAATGTCTACAGCTGTAGTAATAAAAGCGGACATCTCCAATGGGGGAACCAGGGTCAATGACTCTTGCAAGAAACTGAGCTTAGCAATAGGGGGTGGGGGTGTGTGTGTTACCGAATTTGTGGAGTCAGGAAGGATTTGTTGTGAAAAACAGCTAGTGTGATATTAATTGAAATCAAATATGAAGGTTTAGGGAGGAATAACCCCATGTACCAGTGCAGGTTAGGGGTTGACCTGCTTGAGAGTAGCTCAGCAGAGAGGCACCTGGGAGTTTTGGTGGATAACAGTATCACCATGAGCCAGTAATGTGCCCGTGTGACCAAGAAGGCCAACGGCATCCTGGGGTACATTAAGAAGACTGTGGCCAACAGGTCGAGGGAGGTTATCCTCCCACTCTACTCTGCACTGGTAAGGCCACACCTGGAGTACTATGTCCAGTTCTGGGCCCCCCAGTTCAAGAAGGACAAGGAGCTGCTGGAGAGAGTCCAGCAGAGGGCTACGAAGATGATTAGGGGGCTAGAGCATCTCTTCTATGAAGAAGGGCTGAGAGACCTGGGGCTCTTTAGCCTGGAGAAGAGAAGACTGAGAAGGGATCTTATCAACACTTATGAATATCTAAATGGTGTATGTCAAGAGGATGGGACCAGACTCTTCTCAGTGGTGCCCAGTGACAGGACAAGGGGCAACGGGCACAATCTGGAACACAGGAAGTTCGGCTTGAACATGGGAGGAACTTCTTTACTCTGAGGGTGACAGAGCACTGGAACAGGCTGCCCAGGGAGGTTGTGGAGTCTCCTTCCCTGGAGATACTCAAAACTGGATGTGTTCCTGTGTGACCTCCTCTAGGCTAACCTGCTTTGGTGAGGGAGTTGGACCAGATGATCTCCAGAGGTCCCTTCCAACTCCTACCATTCTGTGATTCTGTAAATATCCAGGCTGCTAGAGCAGTGTGCAGGACACTGAAGAAAAGTAAAACGCTAAGTAGAAAATTAAGCAAGCTACAGCATGGGTTAACCATAGGTTGTGCCACTGAAATTCATTTGTTTTGCTATTGCTTCAGTCCTCAAGATGGAAAGTCACGGGCTTACTTGTAAAGAACAAGAACTCTTGCTGTCAGCTTGGAGCCTACCAGAAGCTGACAGCTTACTAGTGGACAGAGGGAAAGCAGGAGAACCTGAATAGACCTCAGAATCACTTCATTACCTGAGCAGGTAGTTTTGGTGACTCGTTAACTATATTGGTTATTTAAACCAATGTGCTGCTTTGTGAACTAAGAGGTAATGAGTACTTCTGAGAAAGCACAGTGCAGTGACTGAAGAGGACAAAAACTTCGATAGGAAGCCTTGCTGGGACTCCGTCACTTGATCCGAGCCTCGTGTCATGCTGCCACAGAAGAAGGCAAATTTGATCTTAGGTTATGCTGGTTGTGATGTATTTTCAGTGAGTGCAACAGAATGTTCATGGCACTGATCTTGAGACTTCATCTACTTGTGTTTATGTAGGGCTATTTAGGTGATCATGGGACAAGAGTGGAGAAATTAGAAAGAAAAAAAATCAGTATGGCGAGGTTAAAACTTCAGCTTGTTTAGAGCAAAATTAAGGCTGAAAAAGGAATTCAGTATAAATACCATTTAATTTGCGAGGGGAATAAATACGAGACTCAAAAACTTGTTGAAGCTAGGAAACAGTGCTTTCACAGGTGGGCGTAAATAGATTATGACTTAACCTAAATTGTAGTTCAGAAAGCTTTTAACAATTGTGAGATGTGGAATGAGCTGCCAGTTGGGATAGTGAGAGCAAAAAACTTAAGGTGGGGGTAGGAAAGCATGCAAGAGGAATGTGTTGTCTATGATTGAGTTTGGATTCAGAGAGGGAGTTTCTTTCAGTGCCTGGCTGTTCAGGAGAGCTGTCTTGTGGGACAGTCTGTCTGCTGCTCAGTATTATGGAAACAAAGCTTTGAAAGAAAACAGTTTAGGTTGCTCTCTGGTCAGGCAACTTACATGAACAGTAGCAGAAAAGAAAATAAATCTAAAATATGTTTAAAAACATAATTTTCATCAGTTCTGTTAATAGCTTCCTTTCTCTGGTGTCTTAGGTAAGGTCATGAAAGACAATGCAAGATCTGATGTTAAGCTTAAAACAAAAAGCTAGTTATAGATATAAATTAGTTTATAGATACAAATTAGTAAATCAGAACCATTATGTTTAGTATTTAACTGGCTTTTGATTTTGGAGGTGCGTGGTGTGTTCTTTATTTGTAGCATGGTTGGATCTTTTTTTTGAAGTGCAATACTTTGCCTCAACCTACAGTTTCAGGTGCTGCTTTGTGTTTCACCCAAGTTTTAAAGACAAATGCGTGCAACTGTAGTTGTAAAAAGCTCCCAAATCACTGTTGGATTAATTAGTGAAACTTTTAATTAGGGTGTTTTGCATGATGAAACTTTTACTTAAACTTTGATTTTTCTTTGTATCTATGAGCATCTCTGGTCAAAAGACCACCGTCTTTGGTGAGGGAGACTGAATCTATAGAACATTTACAGGAAGGAAATAGAGGTAATCTCCCACCTGTTGTTAGTGAATTCTGCATCCTTAATGGTTCACATCCTTGGTAGATCCAAGAACCAGTTGATGGCAACCATGGGTTTAAACCCCAACAAAACCAGAACATCGAATTCAGTAAGCATGGTGTACAGAATTAGCAGAATGGACAAATCTGTAGTTACTTACCTCTAAAAATTTAATGATGTATCTTTCTAAAAGGAGATTTTGCTTTGTATCCCTGAAGAAAGTTACTGGCTGGATGATTTGTGTGAATTTCACTAACACTGCTCTCTGGAAAGCAAAGTCAATGGAATGAGTAGCTCTGGCTAAACACTTCTGAGAATCGGTTTCTGGGAAACATATGAGTGTTTTGGTATCAAAATACAGTGTTTTTTATTTTGTAGGCAAGTTGATGTGGGGTGTGAAAATGTTGAGGAGGTGACAGTGAAATTTGAGCATATAAATAAATTGTACCTTACACCTAAGTATTAAACATAAACATCATCTTAAGCAAGACTACAGTATTCTGTTTAGGTCATCGTAGTGCTTAAAAATAGTGAGCACTCCATTTTGGGAAGTCTTTCTATATTCCAGTGAAAGTGACAATTATGTCTATTATTAATTATATTGCTCTAAACACGAAAAAAACCAATGTGTAACTCTGTCAATTTAATTTTATAGTTTAAGATATGTAGAATTAATGGCTGATTTGAAAGATCGCAGTCTTTTTAAAATATAATCAGCTTAAAAATATAGCTTTGGATATTATTGCTGGTTTTTTTGCTTGTTTCAGTAATAGTATAAATAATATTACTGAAATTTCTAATGTTTCACGATAGTCTATTTTGGTGAAGTAAAACTCCATCTGGAAGATAGCTATTCACTTCAGGTTACTATTTTTGACTTTATATATATTTTTTAAAAATGCTATTCTAAAAATTTAAAATACCATATTTTGGAGAAAATCTGTATGTCAAATGCTTACTTATAATTCTTTGTTTCTCTGTTTATTTTTAAGACGAGCAAAAATCAAATTAAAGTAGATCTTGTAGATGAGAATTTTACAGAATTAAGAGGAGAAATAGCAGGACCTCCGGACACACCATATGAAGGCAAGTAATGTTTTTGTGTATGCAATCATTGTGCACTTCAAATCATGTGTCTTGAGATGCTTTGTTTGTAAAATTAATTTGCAGCATAAAAATGGAGAGCTATGTGTTTTAAAATAGTCTGTTTTTTTTCTAAATACAAATTTTAAGCTTGAAAAATATTTCAGTTCAACTTCTGTGTTGCCTGAAGACAGATCTGTTCTACAGTAGGATAGACTATCCCATATCAAAGGTTAGTTTACAGGTATAAGCTGTGCAGTGTAACTGGTAGAATTCTGACTTCTAGTTGTTTACTGTCTTGACAGTTAAAGCTCCTTAGCCATGACGCATCAAGAAACTGAGCTTCAGAATCTAATGTAACTGTACATGTATTTCTGTGATCTAACATGGTGGTCAGTCAAAAAAAAAATGTTACATTTTTCTGTCTCAGGGAGAGATGCCATTTCAAGTTAAATTTGGAATTAATCTCAGGCATCCATGGGTCCCAATACTTAATTTATACTGGAGTGAAGGACTCTATAGTAGAACTTCATGTCTACAGCTCTCCAAATATTACACCTTATTGACTTCCATGTTTCTAAAAGCTGGTATCAGTAATTGTGCATCTCTTACATCTGGAAAAAAGCAAGATAACTTACTACATACAGAAGCTTTAATAGAAGACAACATAGCATGCTTAATCGGATACAAAATCACTCAGTAATGCTGGTCCTTGTAAACTTTCTGTTTGTGTATAATATATATGGAGCTGGCAGATACACCTTCTATTAAAGTTCCTTGATGATAAATGAGGATTTTTTGTTTTAAATATTTACTTTGTTAAAAAGCATATTTGGCTATTTTAATGGTGTTTTATTCAGATTTTCCATGCCAGGTATCGACTTTGATTTGAATTTGAACTTACAGTTTGGGGAAAAAAAAAAAAAAAAAGTCTCAAGGAATGTTACAGGCAAATAAATTGTTTTGTTGGAAGTGAAAACAATTTTCCAAGTTTTCAGATGCTCTCATTGCTGCATACCTTGAAGTTAAGTGTGGGACTTCAGCACTGTCCAGAGATCAGACATGTGCCGTTTGTCATTATTTTGAAAAATAAATTCTCATCAAATGTGGAAAATATCTGAAAATTGTTGTGTAGGTATCGGTGTATAAGCACTCAAAAGCATTAGTGGCTGCTGATGCAAATCTGGTTGTTACGTCTTCACTAAGGAGGACATCCCTTGTAATTGCTTCTCTGGGCTAGGAGCTGCAGGTGCAGCACCCCTGGACTTCAGAGCAAGGAGAGAGGCTCCCCAGTGCCCTCAGTGCCCCACTGGGGCCCAGGGCAGGTAAAGGATGAGGAAACAGCCTAACAGAGGTTGACACTGGAGAATATTGGGCAGGGGTAGAAGGTGTCAGAAGCTGAGGAGAAAAGAAATGAGCCTGGAAGGGAGAAAGTAGAAAAGTAGAAGCATCTGTAATGGTAAGGATGCTCACCTCCAGAACTTGAGTCTCAGAGTTCCTCTGGTGTCTAGCAAATAATGGCTGTTTCCCCCATCCCTCGCTTCCCCCATGTCTCTCTCTCCTCCTCTCATCATCTTGACAGAAGATAATGTCTGGAGAGAAGACAATTTCTTCTGGTTATAACATATGCCTTCAATTTAAAAGCAAAACTGTGCTGTGGTCCTAAAATACATGGTCGTGCTGGCAACCTATATGGGAGTGAATCATTCTGTTTAATGTAATAGTTCTTTTGCAAATATAGTTGGTCTTGTAAAAGTAAGTCTTACATACAGATGTTAAGATGTCACAAAATTTAGTAATTGGGTGTTAGGAAACATTTGGATGGGGGGGGGATATGTTGTTTTGGGGATTTTTGGTGTTTGTTTTTTTCCATTCAAACAAAATTAATCCTCTCGGGTGAGTTGGTTTGTTATGGCTTGCCGTTTTTTTTTTTTTCCTCCAGGTCAGCATTATCTCAGCATATAAAATGGACCTTTTTTGGAGACTATATTGAGAATTATTTGAAATGAAAGATGTATTCATGTGTCACAAAAGTTAAAAACTGTATAGTGGCTCATGAAGAGGGTAAAGAAGACTGGAATGCCTGTCCACAGAACTGCGTTCTGTGTGATGCCAGATAATTCAGCTAGACCAAAATTTCAAAAGCTAAGCACTGCATATTCACATGTTCAGCCTATCTTGCTAATGAAAATCAGCAATATATTTAGTGTGGAATTTGTTGACGTGAAATGTGTGCAAGCATACTTACATACATATGAGTACATTTAATGATGAGGATATAGTAAATATCCCTTTTGGGGGGCTAAAACTATTATGTATTCTGGCAGGGATCTCATGGAAAGGTAATATGATCTTATACTTACTTTAATGTAGAAGGAATATGCACCAAGGAGCAAAATTAAAGTTACCAGCAGCCCAATTTATGGCATTTCCTGACACTTGAGCAATTTCCTTTGGAACATTAGTATTTCTGTAACATAGTTTTATGCATCCATTCCCTTACGTAATTAGAAGGGCTTGCCAGTGTGCGTAGCTTACATTTTATGACTAGCGCAGTAATGCGTGCTGCGTGATTACCGACTGATCTTCTTTTGCGTATAGTCTGAACAATGACACAGCAAGAAGTGCTTTATGAAGAAAAGCTAATTAATGCAGTAGTTCAGGTTGGGCAATTCCGTGATACAGGAGGGAATTCTGGGACCATTGTGAAGTGAAAGAAGGTAATATTTATTGTTGACCGCAGTTGGTGAGGTAGCTGAAAACAAACTGCTGCTGTGAAATTCTTTTGTAGGCACACGTGTATGACTGAGGAAGAATGCCATCTATTGACAAATTTTACAGCTTTTAGTTTTCTGTCAGTAGTGTTAACTCATATTGATCAATTACCAGAATATTGCAAGGCACAACTTCAGTTGAAACATGTTCGCATCCCACGTTAAAACGTGTACATTTGGGGAGAGGACCTTTGAAAGTCTAGATTAATTGCTGGTGGATTTTACTTGATTCAAGAGCTTTTCAATAGATAAGTTGGGTGGGATTTGTTTTGTTTTGGTGTTTTTGTGGGGTTTTTTTTAAACCCTGTGTAACCATGGTATTAATTTCAAGCCATGTTCGCATGTGAGCCACAGTAACTGCAAAATTTATAGTAGGATATTTCTTCAAGGAAAATAGCTAAACCTGGCTCTAACTCCATTGTGAGACATAGGCTCCAGTGGGAGTACAGAAGGAATATTATGCCATTACTGTTTAATTTGATCTCAAATGTTAGCTAGCTATGAAAAAGTCATTCATTTGCATACTTCTTTTAAAAAAAAATTCTGCAGGAACATTGGCGTGCAGAAGTTAGTATGTTAGCTGCTTGAATTTTAAATGTAGTAAGGAAATTAATATCCAGATTTGTTCAGTTTAAGTCTTTAAGCCTGTATTTTTAGCTGTGAACTTCAGTGCACACCACCAATACTGTATAAGCATAACTACCGACTCATTAGTCCCTGCAGTTTTAAAATATGGACTTCTACATTCCAGGTAGAAACAATTAGTGGCTGAATAGCCTGTTAGGCAGAAGGCTGTAATAGGCTGTCTTTTAAAGGCAAGTTTTAATGATAAGCAGAAGAAATGGTAGTACCTAAGGATAAGTTTTATATTACCTTACAAAATGGTGTGGCAGTAAAATCATATAGGGACTGAGAAAGTTTTGCAGTCCAGGAGCAGTGTAATTTTCTGTTTCTTAGAAGAAATTGCTGCTGAATTATGCTTCAATTCAGACAAAAGGAAGAGCAAACTTATTTAAGGTCTGTTGTTGATGTAAGTGTCTTCAAAATTATTTTGCCTGTGCTGTCCTGTAAGCAGACAAGCAATCAACTTAGACATTAACTACTATAATTTTGGCTTTATTTGCCTTTCTTCTGCATTTTCTGTTAAATCTTCTCAAGTTATCATAGTGTTAAGTGAGAAGAACCAGCTGTAGAAAGTAGTGTAAAATACTAAACTGATACTAACCGGTGTCAGGTGTAGTGTATTAGACTGAATTACATTTTACAAGTGAGAGGTGTAAGTAGCTGCTAACACGCATTTTGGCACAGATAAAAGGGTGCCATAGATGATAACTGTTGAGTTATTCAAACTATTCCTTTGAGGTTTCTTTCCTGCGTGTGGATCTTGCTGCCTATATTGAGATCACTACTTGAGAACTGGTTTTGTGTAGAGTCATTTGCAGCAGAGTCAATTGCTCTTGAAATCCCAAAGGAAATAGATTGCAGATACTTCAATTCGGGGAAGTTTATAAATTGTAACAAAGTGTGTTGAGGGAGGGGAAATATTTCTGAAAGAACAGCAGTAGAGGAGCAAAAAGTTCCAAGTGAGAAGTGCTTACAGTTTCTGTAAAAACTAAATGTCTGAATTGGTCTATGTGTTTTGTTATACTCTGTTCTTTCTGTCATTTAACTGCTGCCTGGCAAATGATCTTCAACGAGCAGGCAGAGATAGTTTGAGGTTGCTCCAGAAGACCTAAGTATTGGTAGCGAACTTGAATGTTATCAGAACTGTAATTGAAATAGACATAGGTAATGATACTGTAACAGGGAGAGAAAGATGAGAAATGTTTAGAAAAGGGCAGTAGAAGCTGGTTCTGTTCACCAAGCTCATACTAACCTTTCTTGCATGCTGTAATCCTGCAAACTCTATTAATAGTACTAGTGTGTCAGAGCATTTGCAGAATTGGAATAGAAGTAAATACTTCAAACAGTGGTGTAGAACATAGTGGAAGTAACATTGGAGCCTCCTTTTTTTTTTTTTCCACCAAGTGTTAGAGCTTTTCTTAAATGGCTTAGTCAAAGGTTCTTTAGTTCCAGAAAGTTTAAATACAGTTAATTTCAGATGTGTTTCAGTCAGTTAATTTCAGGAAGAAATTGACATGAGGTATCAGAAAAGAGTCAAAATAGTGTAATAACCCATGTTCAGCCTGAATGTTCCTGTGGCCTATTGTTTAATCTGTTTGGGGAATATTTGGTTCATATTTTGGTGTATTTTACTGAAATAGAGCATGGAAAATACAACATCAGAAACGAGAAACTATAGGAGAACGTATGCATTAAATATATCGAAGAAATATGGATTAGGATTTGCATAAGCAAATATGACTTTTATTAGATTGACTTTCTGTGCATTTATTTATAAAATGTGTGAAATTTAGAAGTATCTTATAGCTAATACTTCTGAGTAAATTTGCATTACTTGAAAAACCTGTCCATTTAGAAATGTTAAGCTTTATTGTCATGAAAGCTTAAGCTTGAGTAATGTTGTTTTGTTTTGATTTCTAACTTGTTCTTGTCTTTTGCAGGTGGAAGGTATCAACTAGAGATAAAAATTCCAGAAACATATCCATTTAATCCTCCTAAGGTACTGTAAACACTGTTTTGGATAATTTGGCTAACAAGTTGGTTTTGAGTATTATTTATTTGCTTGTGTATGTAGTCTCTTTGTAGTACCCATCTTCTGGTTGTTTTTTTTTTTTTTTTCTTATTCTCCTCTAGACAGGCATTGGAGCTGTCATCTTTATGTAGAAATAATGCAGGATGTGTAGCTGTATCCAATCAGAAGTACACTCTGATTATTCCTTCGAGTACAAACTGGCAAATTCTGGGGCAGAGCTTGTACCTTATTATTGGCTCTCATGTAATTTCTTTTTGGCAAGATAAATAGCATTTTCAGATGGTTTTACTTCTGTATGGTTATCTTCCCTCCCCCTCAGTGTTCCTGAAGAAATGCTGTAATAGATAATTATTGATTCTTTGAATTTCTTGGGCTCCATAAGTTCTATTTAGTAGAGTCTTCAGTCTAACCTACCAAGTTTCTAGTAATAATTAAATAGGGAGGTGTACAGTTGTGTGACTTGGAAGAACCGGTGGAGAAATATGATCTGTCTGTTGAAGAAATGCATAAAATGTGCACATGGATGAGAGACAAGAGAAATGACTGTGATAAAATCACTCGTACATTTTTCACAACTTAGCAGCCTTTCAACTTTACTATATCTTTGTAGCACTTCAAATTTGTGATTCTGCTTCCCTCCTAATGGCTCAATCTGAGTAGTGTTCTCCCCAGCCACGTGCAGCTGCAACTGTGTATTCCTGTACTCTGATTTGGTCCCTTCTTCAGTGGCTTCTGATGAATCAGCACGAGTCCTGAGTTGTCTGACTCAACTTCTTGATTGCTTTTCTATTTGTTTGAAAAATGTCTTTGAACTAAGAACATGTCCTAGATCCTGATTATTTTCACCCTGGTATGTAATACTGGGAAGGAACTGGGGAAGAGGAGGGAGAGGTGCTAGTAGCTCATAACTCCTTGGCTTTTGCGCTTTGAATGACTTCCTTGAGGCTGGAGTGAAAGACACAATAAGTCTTAATGAAATATCTGTTGGTTTCTGTTCTTTCATCTGCCTGTGTTCTGGCGGGAGCTAAAATAAGGAGAGCTGAAACAGGTCGTAGACACTGAAAGATGGGTCTGTGGACTATGGTTTGATTGCTGCTTTAGGGCTTGGTGGTTTCCATTTCCAAAGCTTATAGGCAGCTGTTAGAAGCTCGGTGCACTGTAGCATAGTACTGCTTATTCTGGAGCCTGTAGTCTTGAATTGGGGGCCTTTTTGCTTGTGTCTAGCCCTGCCTTTCATCTGAGAGATTTCTTTATCTTGTTCAGTATGTGCTTTGACAGCCATTGTTAGCAGTCATTCACTGTGAGAAATTACCTAGTATTTACATGGCTTTTTACGTTTTCAAAGAGAGTTGAGCTAGTTAATAAGGGGCTCAGCTGACATGATCTTTTATTTTCTGTCCTGGAAAGCAGAATTGTTATGGTCTTGCCTATTTATACACCATGATTGCTCTGATTTTATTACAGTCCTGTATGTACGGTCTTTTTCTGTGCCTGACAAATAATGTGTTCTCTGCACTGATTTGCTGATCGGGGCAAAAGTTGAAAGATCTCTGTTATATGTAAAATGCTGGTCAGGGTTTGGAGTGAGGTAGTAGAGTTGAGAAACAGAGACAGGTTAAAGTCACTAGAAGGCACTTAAAGTGCAACCTGAAATAAGGGATTTGAAGAAAATGATGGAGAAATTTCTGAAGGCATGTATATATTCCTTTCAGAGGACAGCTTTGGGTTTTGAGACTTTTGAAAGAAAATGCTGCTTTTAACTTTCTCAGGGTCTTTAAAAAAACCAAAACCTGATTTTATTCATGCTTTGTGAGCATGAATACACTTTATTTTAGTGTAAAAAATATGGACATGATTCATGAATGAGTGCAGGGACTAGATCCTTTCAACAGCAAAGAAAAATAATTTAAATCCAGTTACGTTTTAGTTTATTGAGCTTTCTGTTTATGGGTAATGCAACTGGATGGTTGTAGAAGTAGTAGCATCCACCAAAGAAATTTTTACAGTACTTCTGTAGGTAACGACAATTTAGCTGAACAGTGAGATCCAATGCCTATGTTAAGAGTTCAGGGACTTGTTTCACTTTATTAAAAGTGGACTTTATAGCATTTACAATGTTTGAAGTTTTAAGTCTGTGTTTGACCATCTGCTTATGTCAAAACAGTGGTACTGGCGGAGGGTATTTCGGTGGTTGTGTGATGCAGGATGTACACACATGACTGTGTATGGGAAGCAGTTAGGGATGAGTTTGGTGTCCTCAAGTGGGCACTAATCTATTTTTGAGTAAAGCAAGGCTCTAACAAATGGCCTTGCAAACTTGAAGCCTCCTGAAATTAGTGGTATCACATGTCTTAGTTCTGTTTTTTAACTTGATATTTCTTCAATTAGTGTTTCTTTATAATATTATTATATTTTTTTACTTAATATACTGCATTTAATAACCATTTTTGTTTTTACAAATTGTCTTGTCTTCTAGGTGCGGTTTATCACCAAAATATGGCATCCTAATATTAGCTCAGTCACTGGGGCCATTTGTTTGGATATTCTGAAAGATCAATGGTAAGATTCCATATGGATTTATACGTGCAAAATCAAATATACCAGTGTCCTGGATAGGAGGCAACAGGTCATGTTGCTTTTCACTCTGCATTTGTAATTTGAGATGTCCTTAAAGCTTACAATGTTTCAGTATAGTATTCTGAGTTGAAAAGATGCAAATGAAATGATTGGGTGGTAATTTTGGAAAGTACTAAGTAGATATTATATGCATAGAGAGCTTTTCCAAACATTTCTACACTAGGGTTAGGGTGAACATTTCATTGTGCTGATGGTTTGGGTGTTTTTGTAAGAGTTAATTTTTTTTTTTTTTTTTTTTTTTAATTTTGTTAGTTCTTTTACACTGACAAATGCTACCTATTGCCTCCTGAATTTTGTCCTTTGGGCCTACTGAGGTGTAAGCAGAAAATATCCAAGTGCTTAGCTTCATTCTGGTTCTTGGCTTCTACTTCCAAATACAAATTAGTTCTGATAGAGCTAAAAGAATGTGTGAACTGAGCCTAGGAGTGTAAGAGGTATCAGGTCAGCAATAGGAAAGGAAGAAGAGACCCATTATACTGATTCTGTCTCACGGTTATCGCTGATAATATTTATGGTTTGCACCTCTGTAAACCAGTCATCTTTTAGTTGCTGGTCAGTTGCTGACTTTTGATTACTTAATGTTACTGAAAATGTTTTAACAGCCAGAATCTGTGGAATAAGCCTGTAAGTGTCCACACTGTAACAGCTGAACTCATTGTTCCTTTGTTTTTCTGAGTGATACATTTCATGTGGTTTGAAGATTGAATGGACCAATTGTATGATAAACATAATGTGTAACAAGAATGGAATTAACCTTTGTTGTTTTCCTCCACGTCTGCCCCAAAAGAATAGGACTGTAATTCCCCAGCAGATAATATCAGTATCTAATCCATACAATCTTCAAACGCTTGTAAATTGAACAACTTCGTCAAGACTGCTGTTGGCCAAGCAGACATCAGTTGGGTTTGGAAGAGAAACTCTAGAGCAGAAGGCCTGAGTTGAGGTCTTGCAGGTGATGCATCCAGTGTATTCTTCTTTTACAGAGTGAGACTATTAATGCAAATCATGTGGCACAGGGTAGTGTAAATTACTAAAATGAAATCATGATAATCATAAACTGTTGTCTTTTTCATTTCTGGAACTGCATATTTTTTCTTACAGTCTCAGAGCACTTGATGTTCTTTCAGGCAGCAGAATCTTTCAACATACGTGTCATGGTACATGGTCTAATTTTTCTGTCAGTAAAGCCATTGCACTTTTGTACCTGCGCCGAGTTATTCATACCACCCTACAGTTATACTGGAGGTTAATGACTCTGTGCAGTACAATTTCCTGAGAGATTGTTTTCTAAACCAGATTAGTGAATGGGCATGAGGTTGGCTGGTTAGTTGTGTGTTGGGATTTCTTTGGATTTCTGTTTGTTTAGGTGTTTTGGCAAAACAAATTTTGGATGGTGTTTTTAACAGAGGTCACTTAACTGGTTTGAACTAGAGCGCACAAACCTGCTCTCCCAGCAAGGCTTATTTCGCTCAGGACAAGGTTTGAGTAGTGAGGATATGGGAACACAAAAATTCTTTATTTCTAGCAGCGAAGGTGCTTAACATGGAACTGCATCATTTAATACTGTCTCGTGAAGAATTTATCCAAAGTTTTTAAGCTCAGGGTTTGTTTGGGATTTTTTTTCTTCCATCTTGTGGTACTCCTTTATGCACTGTCTAGTTGCTTTACTTGTAATATCAAGGTCTGTGACTTTTAACAAGTATCTTTGAGGCTAATCTTTCTATACTGAAGCCCCTAAACATCATGTTTCTCAAAAATGACACTTACCTAGCATTTTCCCTAGAAACTTCGAGGGAAAACTGGTGCCTGGTGGAAGTCATGCTTATTTATCACATTCTGAATTAGAACCAAAATAATTTAACAGCTTTTAAAAAGTGTTATCTTGTTATTACTTTAATGTGTTCCCTAATTAGTGTTTTCTGTGGAGAAGGATGTATGATCTTGCTTCTGTAGTAATGGACTGGGTTTCAGGAGACCACGTCTGGGTTTCCAGCCCTGGAACAGGTCTTCTGATGTCTTTCAGCATTGCTGAACATCGTGGCTGGAAACAGTCTCACAAAATTCAGTCTTACCCCAAAACTGCTTTAAGAGTGAAGCAGTTAGTAGCTTTAAGATGAAAGTTTCTGGCCTTTTCAGTGGCTGATCAAACTAAAAGCTATAAAATACCAAAAGACAGCAAAGACCTAAAGAATTCATGAGCTTCAGCTTTTTTGGTTTTGAGTCAAATCCATTGGGATTTGGAAAAGAAGAATAGGAGAGGAGATTTGCCCTGTGTTCATGTAATTTTTGAAAGTTAGGTCTTGCACAGATAACTTAATATGTGTCTTTGTTCTGCCTGATGGAAAGAAAATGTTAATACCTTCCTTCACTAAGTTGTATACAAAATAGGAGTATTGGAACAAGATCTCATTTCTGTGCATTTATACCGTCTGGCACAGGGAGTACCAATATTATGCCACTTGGATACTGTTAAACTCTTCCTTTGAACCACTGTCTTTGTTTGGAAGCACTAAGGAAAGAATTTCACAGAACTTGGTGGTGGCACGGGCAGGCTTCCTATGTACTACAATCCCCCTTGAGATGATTTTTAATGTAGTGATCCCTTCATTTTCTAGTTGTGCTCTTTGCAAGTTCTGTTTGGTTTTTGATCATAGAACGGTAAATGAAAATTGCTTGAGCATTGTTGAAGTGCTTGTCAGAGCCTCAGGTCCTTTGGAGAAGAGGAAACTGTTCTGGCTACCTCTGTCCTTTCTTGTTTGAAGAATTTCAGTATTGTGGTTGTACTTTTTCTGAGTAGCTTCCTAAGCCATATGAATGGTTAATGTTGTTTTAATAAGTTGTTTATTGTTCTTCAGTTTATGCTGTTTTAGCTATTTAAACTGAGAAATGTCCACATCACCTTAAGTTTTCTGCTTGTGTAGGTTGAACAATGGTTTGAATAAAATGATAGCTTCATTAGAAAGCAAACAAAAAACCCTGAGCCACACACCCCCTAACCTTGATAATTTAGTATTTAACGGATTTCGCCACGTATTCAAAGGGAAACGGGGCAAATGCAATTCTGAATAGTCTAATGGCTGTGTTCTAGAAAATATCTTTAGTTCCACAGTCTGTCTTGTCAAATCCTTTAGTAACAAGCTCTGTTTCTGAAGTGCTACTTCATTGACTTGTACTGCTCTTAACTGAATAATGCTTCTCTGTTGCTGTGTTTAAATGTAAGTTTCAAATTCCAATGCATATCTGTGTTTTTCAGTGAGGTGAGTGGAAGCTGAAGGACAGAATTGGGGCCTGTGGGACTTAGTAGGGTTTCTTAAAGAGCTAATAAACTGATAAAATACTCACTTATATATGTTGAATAAATATACAAAGATTTTAAAGTGTTTGTATAGTTAAAAAAAAAAGTCTCTTCCCTACTCACCAATTCCATGATAACAATTTTCTATTCTAATGAGCATGGTGTTCCTCATATTGGCAGGAGGTTTTATCAGCTGGCAAAGTAGTGTCTTTAAATTATTTTTTTAATGAGTTTAATGGAATTCTTTCTCCATGGTATATGCTTGATATATTTGCTGAAATTCTTCGCAGCTGTGGGTTTTCATCATGTTTAGATTTGTAAATACCTGTTCTGCCTGTTTGTTTGCAAAACAGCTACTGTTTGCTGGTAGCATTAAAATATGGATAGGATTTTGTAGAGGGAATACTGTTTATGCTGATCTGATAGGACTTTTGTTATGTGGTTTCAATTACTGTAGCCTGTATTTATCTTCCAGGCTAGTATTCTGTCTTAAAAGTCTATTCTTAAATATAAAATATATCTAATACTGTTCATTGAAACCTGAGAACTAAATTACTTGAAAGCTGTTCTGCATAAATCCCTTGAGCACTGATTATCAAGCAAATGTGTTGTGGCCATGTGTATGGCTACAAAAAAACTCTTGGCTGTTGTGGTTTTCACAGTTGAAATATAAATGAATAATAAGAATATTCTTTTCGTAGTGGCTATACTAGAGGATTCATGCTTCAGTTTTGGTTGAGATGCAGAAATCATTATTATATGAGATAATACGGTTTTAATAGACACGTGAGCAACAGACAGCTTGTAATTATCTTCTTGGGCATCAAAAACTGCTGAGTTTTGTTCAGACTGTTTGAGGGAACTCTTCAGCAAGCAGACTGTCTTCGCCCCCTGCCCTATTATTCTTTTATTTATTTATTTGTTTTACATTTCCCTAATGAGTGCCCGGTCTTGGCATTTCTTCTGTAAACAGTGACTGTACAATGGGCTTCTACTCAAAGTCTTTATTAATTTCCTCCCTCCTTCCAGATTCCATAAGCCCTTGGTACAAGTTGCCAGGGCTTTTCCTTGGATTGACAAGTTTAGTTATTTCACAAATGGAATAAATATTGCAGATTATTTTTTAAAAAGTAAAAATGGTTCCCAGTAGCCGTGTTTGGTTGACTAAGTGGAGCGGCAGTCTGCTGGCTGCAGCTGTTCCTGTTGTTCTGCTGCGTTACCTCTCAGAGTAACTAGAGATAGTTTCTAGAGAGGAATGTACAGAACATAAGTAGAAACTTCCTAAATGGGAAATGACTTAACTTTTAAAGACGAATAAGGAAAAGTGGCAGTGTTTTGTAATCCTCTTAGGGCTCTTTCAGCTTATCAAAAGGTAAGAGATTTCTTATCTCGGGCACGCTGGGCCCAGCTGGCTTGATGTCCTTTGTAATATTATTGCTATATTCACCCAAACTAGGGGTGCTCTTTTTTAATGGAAATGCTTCAAGATATTACCTAAAAAGAGAAAAGCATAAAATACAGATCAGCTTTCTTTGTTCTGATTCACTCCAGGTTTCCTGCTGTGTAACAAATGCAATGCCAATAGAAAGCCTGAGTTTTGGTTACAATGTCTGGAGTGGAGGCTTTTAGTTTGAAGTTCTCAGAAGGACAGTGCTTTCCTGTAGTGAGCTCTCTGCAGCTCACTGGTAGATGTTGCCGGCCTTTTCTCCCATGCTGTAGATGCCAAACTTGCAAGCCTGCGTAGTGGCTAAGCAGCATTTTGGGATGGGGGTAGGAGTCAGAGGTTATTGTAAACTTTAGGAGAAAACAGGAGCCAGTAATGTCGTGGGACAAACGCGATGTAATGTCATGTGCAAGGCGAATAGGATGCTGGGACGCAGGAAGTTTTACCTCCAAAGCTCATGATGTAAGCTGCCTGGTTTTTATTTATGACTGGTCAGGCGTCCGTTGGGGTAGTGTACCCTCTTTGAGCGTTGGATTCCAAGAAAGACAGGAACCATAGGAAAAATCCAGAGAAAAGTAACAAGAATGATGGTCTAAGCAAATACAGCCTACAGTGAAAGACAGGAAAGCTATTTTAGCATGCAGAATATCAAGCATGGTGCAGCATTGCAAGAAACATGTGAGGCTCCAGTTAAGAACAGATTAGACAGAAGTCTGTCACGAGTGATACAAAACCTTACCTTTGGCAAGGAGGAGAGAAAAAACCCCTAAAACCCAAGCATACAGCTAGCTTGGGTTAGCAAAGGGAATTGCTTGAACTCCGTGAGATGTTTCACGTAAATCCACACAGAGAAATAAACGTCAAATATAAGAAGAGTTGGAAATTATTTTTTTTCAGGATTCTGTTCTGGAAAAATAAACCCTTGAAGAGCACTGGAAAATGCAGAAGATGTATCTTTCCACTGGAAATTCATTTTAAGGAAGATACCACTTATTTTGAAGCACATTCGAGCTTGTGGGGATGTCGTGTGGGAGTGTGTGTTGGGTTTTTTAGTTTTGTGCGACTATCAGCATAGGTTTTCCTCCAGGACTGGTGATGAGAGTTGCTTTTGCTCTTTGCTGATGAGGAACGCCTTACTAGTGTCTGTAAATGTAGTTCTGGGCAGTCATCTCCGTTCACCGTATTCTCCCAAAAGAAGGTAATGGTAAGGAAGAGCAGCTTTTTAAGGTTCTTGGGAAATGAGAAACTATTTTTAGCTGTCCCTCCAGTTTCTTCTGGGAATCTTAATTTGTGTCTGAAAAATTAAGACTAAGCTACATAGACAATAAGAAGACTGTCTTACTTTCTTTGATCAGGAAAGCTAATTGGTGTCCTAAAGGTAGAAAATGTTACATGAATGTACAGTAGTTACATGAAATATGTCAGATTTTCTTTACCACTAATCACAGACTTTAATGTCCTTTTTTTAGTACAAACAGCAGCTGAAGCTGTAATGGATTTTCTTTTATGATTTAAGGATACTTCTTTAAACATTTGCGTCCAATGAAGACTTTGCTTGTTAGGCATGAGATGTGAAAGCCGTTTGGAGAATGAGACTGGAAAAGAAGTTGTGAACTACATTTATTAAACCTTTCTACAGATGTAGATGCTAAACTAGTCTTGTCTGAACTTACTATTTTGGAGTTTGAGTTCTCTGAGCATATAGCTATCTGTATATCCAAATGGATGAGGTATTTATTTTTATTACTCATTTTGAAATTGGAATGTCAGAACAGAAGTTAAAGTCCCAGTATGCTTTGTATAAAAATCTACAAACTTAACAGTTGAACAGGGACTGAAAGGGCCTGGCAGTCTTGAAAGCCAGAGAAGGCTGGAACCAGCGCAGAACTTGTGTTCTAGGCATCCATGGCACCTTTGGTCCCTACTAACACCCCCTGATCCCCAAGGTATGTTTTCCTCTCCTAGAAGGCACAGTGTAAATGGAAGTAAATTGCACATAAAGGTGGCAAAAGTGGCTGTGAGCCCTTTCGTGTCATCCTTTCTGCTTTCAATAATGGCAGTGTTTTCAGATGTCTCTAAAGTAGAAGGATTTCTGTAAAGGAAAATGTAGAACAGCTTTTATTTGGTGAAAGTGACTACAGTACAGTTGATAAGTATTTCATGTTAAGTCCATCTTTAAAACTGCAGTAAATAGCATAATAAAATTACTTAACTGGGAAAAAAGACTTTAGGTTTTATAGCGTGTGTGGTGGGTGTGGTAGTCCTTGAAATTCACCGCATAAAAATAAAAATGGTTAAATCCATTTGAGCATAGTAAGGCCTGAAAGACTTAGCATCTGAGATCTGAATACCAGAATAGTAAACGTTGCATTACATGCCTTTAAAACGAGCAGGTACCACTGTGAATTACATCATCAATGTGTACATTAAGTAGATTAATTTCAAGACAGTATAAACCAGTCGAGATCACAAAGATCAGGAAATTACAGGAGTAAAATAGTGTAGGTACATGTAAAGCAAAAATATTTCTATGTTCTTTCACTGAGGTTTTTGAGTGTGATTTAGGTGTGGAAAAACAAGATGCTTTGTACTCTTGAGTTTGCTGTGTTAGCTGGGCTCTCATCACACAAGTGAGGATATGTTTCAGTAACAAGGTATTCTTCATCTGATTATATTTAATCTTACTAGTTATTTCCCATCTTTGTAATTCAAAGAAACATTCTTTGGCTTGGAAGAAGCATTCAGCTTGGAACCTGAAATACTTATATTTAACTAGGAGAGAATTTGAAATTCTGAAAAAAAAATAAAATCTAGTTACTAAGGAATAGGTTTGGAAAAGGAGAATTATATGTCGTGAAGGTTTTGTGATTTGTCAGAATTCAGCTTTAAAAGCATGGGTTTCTTTTAAGATTTAAGCCTGCAAAGTTCAGCTTGAGGGACTTCAAGCTGATGTGGCAGTTGGAATGAGACAATATGTGCTAATTAAAGTCTCTGTCACTTGGGATGTTTCTCACTTGCATTTTGATGTAGAACACTGCACTGTGAAAGCTCAGTGATGATCTAAAAAACGAGTTTCTAGGAAAAATCTTCTAGAATTAGAAACCATTAGGGAAGAATGCCATGTTTGAATGGTTAGTGACATAGCAGGATAGCTGTAAATGTAAGCATCTGGGAGTATATTTGGGTGTCACAAATGTGCCTCCAACGTTTTTTACCAACATCTGTTCTCTGTTCATTGGTGTGCTCTGCTAGAGTACCTCAGTACAGTGCCTTGGTACTGGAAAATACATAAATTTCTGAAATCTGAGACTGGAAAAAGACTTGCAAACTGTTTGCGTTGTATCTGGACCATCAGGCCAAACTCTTCCCCACCCACTCTAACAGACTCTCTGCATTTACTGTCAGTTTTCTGAAAAGAAGAAACTATTTTCTGTTGTTTGAAAATTGAACAGTTTGTAAGAAATTGGATGCCTGTGTTTCACAACTTTCCTCTGGCATTTCATGTACCATAACCATTTTGCTCAAATCTAAGATGTCACATTTTCCCCACTTACCTTTCTACTAGTGCTTGAACAGAGTAAGCAAAAACTGCTTGAGCACATCTGTACCTTCAACACAACAGTGAAGAGTCTACTTAATTCTGACCTTCCACAGATTCTGTGGGGTCCGTATTTGGGTTCCAGTGTGTGCCAGCTGAAATGGTAGATCAGAGGTGGTATTCATGATCAAGATCTAATTAAACTGTGCATTTAACATGTTACAACTTTCCAGATTTACAGTGTGTAACAATTTCATACTTCTACTTTTCTGAGTGTTTATTGACTGTTATGAATATACTTGGTTTTCCCTTACTAAATTATTGAAGTCTCCTATTCTAAATATACTTTTGAGATCAAGATAAATGAGGAGAACTTAGAACCTTAGAAGCTCTGACTCTAGATTTACAGCACCACAGAATTTTTTCCTGCTAGTGACAGTTATGTCAAGTTGGAATGAGAGGAAGCTGAAATAGTATTTTCAGTTGCACGTTCTGTAATAGCCAAACCTTTTTATTATCATAGTAGTAATTCACTATGTAAATTGTTAAATTTTATTGAAAAATGTCATATTAAAACTGAAGTAGTGCAAAAGACACCTAAGGTATAAAATTCCTTATCTGTTACAAGTGTTTAAAATATAGGTCACTATTTCTGTATATACAGTTTCGCTATGAAGAGTGCCAGCAGAGGGAGCACACATGGGCTGCCAGCTCAGTACCTAGACCCTATGCCAGGTGCTGTTAATGGTAGTAAGGAAAGATGACCTAAAACTTCAAATTTCAAATTGGCTGCTCTTCCTTCCCCCCCCGCCCCTGCCCCTCCATGAAATAGATTCTCTTAGGTGGGCATGGTCAAATGTGTAGGTCAAGGGCTGTATTTTCCAAAGGGTTAAGAAAGCACTGTTAATAAGAAAGTCCCCATTTAAAACCCTACTTAAATATATATACCGAATGATATTCTAATACCTGTAAGCTGCTAAGCTGCAGCAGTTTAAAATTGTGATTCCTAGGCTTACAGTCTGTGCATGTACCCTTATATCTTCTATGGTATTAGTACAGCAGCAAAGGTGAGTACAGGCATGGGATTTGGTAAAGTCATTTTCAAATTTTTAATTTTAGGGCAGCAGCAATGACTCTAAGAACAGTGTTGTTATCGCTGCAAGCATTGTTGGCAGCTGCAGAACCAGATGATCCACAAGATGCAGTAGTGGCAAACCAGGTAAGATACTCAGTTGACTGTGAATTTGTATCACTTCTGTAACCTTTGCTAACTCAGATGAGGTCTCAAACCTTGGGGGAGGTAAAGATTTTAAAGAATTTATTGGAAAACTGCCATACAGGAAGTGTGAGTTACTACGGTGTTTTGCGCTCTTTACTCTTTGGATTCCAGAGTAAGTAGCAGTTATTTTACAGTGTCAGGAATTTTATTCTGTTAGGCTTTTTCACTATTTAGCTTGTCAGAAATGTCAGGAGATAACAGCACAGTAAAATGAATTCCAGTATAACTTGCCTTTTAAAAATCTAAGGCTTCAATGAAAAAAGAAAAATAAGAAAAGCAATGTTGTATTGGTTTAAAATGAGTTTTAACTTAATGGTGTTCATTGGATTTGGCTTGGTATGTAGCTCCTCTTCCAGATTAATATGAATATTGTTGAGCATTGTATTTGCTTAATGTCAAAATTTCATGGATAGTGACTTTAAATGACTTACTGTTCCATTTAATCCTGAGGAGCAATTTATCTGAATGAAGCATCCTATGTTAGGTATTTTACCTTTGGAAGTGCTTGAGATAGCGGTGTTAGTCACTGGTTGAATTGGTATCAGCAGAGTTCTATAATGAACAGGGTTTGTAACTTTTCAGACAGTAGTGCCAACTTATAAAAAGTAATAACAATAAAATGTCACTTGAATCTTATGCCATACCAGGACTGACATGATTCTGTTTAAAGTGTTGATGAAAGATAGGCACAGTCATTCTATAACTCAATAATCTTGACAGTTTTCTGTCCCAGGTATGTGTGTGGTGTTCTTCTCTTTACTCTGGGGAGAGAGAGAGAAAGCCTGGCTTCCCCACTGGCTGGTGGTAAAGGTGTATTTTGGTTACAAAAGAACAAGGCATGTAGAAGGTTCTTCCAGCGTCAATCTCATCTATACCTCCTGTAAATCAGGAGCCTCTAGGATTGGGTGACAAAGTGTGTGCTCCTTCACTCTAAAAATCTGTGTGGGATGATAAATTAGCAGTTTATCAAAGCTGTCGGGATTTCAAGGGAAACATGAAGAAAGGAAGTAGCCCATTGTGCTCCTGGGTGGGGGAGAGCTGCCTGCTGCTGCTACGCTCAGTAGTAAGTGCAGAAGGCTTGTTTGTGGGATTCTGCAGCACTGCGAGGCTGCCCTGGACAAATGTCACCCAACAGTTCTGTCAGACTGATTGCTCTATGCAGGGAGAATGGTTGCAAAGGCCAGCAAGGCCACCAGGCATGTCCCTGAACCAGTTATTTCTTGCCGACTGCATGCCCTTACTGTCACACTCGCTTTATTAAATAAAACCGCTTTTCCCTTTTTTACAAAGAACGAGGGTAGTGTTTCCCATTCTGGCCCCTATGGTAGAATTTTGTGTAGGAATCATAACAGTCTCGTAGAAGCACTTGAGCTGGAAAGAGTTTTTTCTCAGGCAAAAACCATCATGAAACTTCCTAGATTCTGAAGAGCAGTACTGCAGGCTGCCTCTCAGGTGCTTGTGGGGATGTGTCCAGTGGGACTCTGGCATGGCTGATGTGGGAGGATGTGATTTCTCCTGTTCCCTGCAAATACCTGCATGAAAACTGTACTGGGGTTTTGCCTGGAGTTACAAGCATGTCTGTGTAATTAGAAAGTGGTTATAACATCTCTGAGACATGTGTGGTAAACACCCAGTCCCTTCATGTGTTTTATTTGGTGGTGGGGTCGTCTTTAGTGTGGATTTTGTTTTGTTGTTTTGGGGTTTTTTTTCCAAAACAAATTCCCAAGGAATTGGTTATCCTCCACACTCATTTTTTGGTATGTAATTTCCTGAGCTATGTGTTGGAGTACCAAGCTGTTCAGGTAAATGACAGTGTCCTTACAAGCTCTTTAGCTGAATCCCAGGGAGAGTGCAGGGAGAACTGTTTGAGTAACGGCAGTATTTTCAGACGCTGTCTGAAACCAGCTGGTTTTTTAAGTACAGCGACATTACCTGCCTCAGATTCCGATACAGAGACATCACTAAAAGGTGCCTTTAGGCTTTTGTCAATTCGGTGAGAAGCTAGATTATTTATGGCTACCTAAGTGAAGGAATTTGCTTATAGAACACTGAAAGCTAGTTCCGAATAAAATGCGGTTACGCAGCTATGGCTAATCCTTTGTACTTCAGCTCGTCGCTTTCTAGGCTTGGCAGTGTTACTGAAAGTATTTAAAAAAAAAAAAAAAAAAAGTAAAAATTGAGGGAAGAGCTCTTTAGGAGCAGAAGAATATAGTACTTCAGGATGCTACTGATGCTTAACTTAATCCTTCCTCTTTTCTAGTCATTACAAGCAAAGAAATTTATTACAGACCACTGTATGTATAACGCAGTGAGTTATTTCCAACAATGGATTCTTTTCCAGTGTTTGTTTTAGTGCCATTAATAATCCTATAGTAAATACACAAATTACTTCATGTGGAACAGAACTAGCAGGGGGTGTACAAAGCACACGCTGCGGTGTAGGTGGTGTGCGTTGCTGTAGGAGAGATAAAATGAAACGTACGCAGTATGAAGTACTGTATTCACTTTGACAGCACTTTATAGATTTAATGGTTGTTTTCATGTGTGAATAAGATGCTTAGAATGATAATCAGCCATGTTTTCTGTCCTTAAAATGCATCTAAATATTTGAATAATATATTTCCCAATATATTGTCTTATTATTTAGTGCTGACATTTATTTTATATGTAAAGATGGAAATACCTGCTCTTTTTTAAAGTGTAATGATTAAGGGAAA